ATGTAGAAGAAACAAAGTGAACACCAGCATTAACAAAATTAGGATCCGAGCATGCACCGTCGACGACGACCTTGATGCTCCGATTTGCCAAAAAGCTGGTGATCCATTTGCATAACTTCCCGGGAAGCCGAGTGCAGGGGTGGAAAAGAAGGCTTACAGAAATTTCCCAAGACAGCTTTGGCGAGAGACCAAAACGCACATGTTCCCGTTGGGAGACGCGCCAATCTCTCGCCAATTCTGCCAATGTGTTCCTATTTCGCCTTAGCAATTACACTTTTGAAGGACCTAGAGGAAGAGTTATACTTCTTTTTTAAAGCGCTGGTTTTTACACCACTTGACGTTGAAGCGTCAGCCCAAGCCTGGTAGCAATCCCGCTTTCGGCGTAATGCCAACTTACAGGAGCGACCAAACCAAGGCTGCGACTTGCCACCAATGGGCACTGCAGAGAACGGAATAAAGAGTTCCATACCTTGAAGCACCACATCAGTCACTGAGTCAGCAACGACGTCTGGGTCATCCGGCGAGAAGCAAATCTGCCCCCATGGGTAGGACAAAAAGAGTGTCGAGGCGACGAGAGCATATAACCTCTTTGACGTACATGCACACCCCAGCCCGCGACACAAAGGAATGTTCCAGTTTGTACCCCGGGTAGGAGAAGAATGAGGTGTCAGCTAGAGAAGATATCTGCGTCTCGGTAAGGAAGAGCAAGGCCGGCTTCGCCGTCTCAAGATGGAAGTGGACGGCGTTTAAGTTGGAATTTAGCCCCCCTATGTTGCAATAGTCCACGGCATGCGAGGAAGGGGTGGCCTTATGTTGCCTGCTCCGTTTGCCCCGAGCAGATGTAGAGAACGCAAAATTGCGCCCCTCCCCCTCCCCCCAGAATACGAAGGGCAGCCTGGGCGTTCACGCTCAGACGTTGTACGGCCTGCGCGTGGCTTTCCAGAGAGGGATTCTCCGCCGCGCTGTATGCTGGTGGTGGTGGGCGTGCCGGCCCAATTCGGCTGCTACTCGAAGGTGCGCAGCATGGCACTACCACTAGTTGGGTTGACTGATTGCACTGGTGGAATAATCTCTGTCACAAGATTATCCCACTAGCGGGCGATGGGGTCGTCACGTCCCGACGCCAGAAATTGTTTATATGCTGTAAAGAATGGAAGAATAAATACACCAAGCTATGCTTGGAATGCGAAAAAACAATTAATACACAAAAGATTTTTTTTAGTTGATCCTGTGTTGTAAGGACGTTTTACAAACATAAATTTCACGCGGACAAACACCCAGTTGCGAAACAACTATCTGTGGGTCACACAAATAGTTGTCCCGTGTGGGAATCGAACCCACGACCCCCGACGCCGAAGCCAATACCTTGGCAAGGAGTCATTAATAAATTCTTTTTTACTACAAATTTTTAATGTTTCGTCTTAAGTGCCGAGAATAGCACAATAAAAAATTAAAAGTAGGAAAGAAACTTACTTGAAAATTTAAACACCTCTATAGTCATATAGTCAGTGTCGGAACGTAGATCTGTGTTCAGACTGTTGTGTCGGAACGTAGATCTGCGCTACTAACGCACCAATAAATAATGATATTTATACTCAAATTTCTTAAGTTAGTTTTCTTAAGTCATTTATATTTATTCAAAACTACATGTATTCTGTTTTCATAACATGGAAATAAAAAAGCTAAAACGTTTATCATGAATTACTTATTGATATTTTTCTTTAGGATGTAAGAATTGCTTCTAGTAAACAATAGAAACATTGTACAAAGGCAAAAATGTAATAACTGTAAAGTTAGCCATCCATATAGCTTTAAAATAAACCTGAATCATATAGATTATGGTTTTCACTACAAATATTGTTCCGAAGAAAGACGCAGTTGCAAAATTGCGCGACTGTTTTTCACCGACAGATAGCGCATTTTTCATAGTGCGCTACCCGACAGACCAAGGTTTAAGGTTCCGCGTTCCCATATGTGAAACAATTATCTGTGGTTCGCACAAATAGTCGCCCCGGCGGGGAATTAAAACCACTATCTCCGGCGCCGAAGCTAATGTCTTGGCAACAGTGACACGGGGTCAGTTTAAGGAAATTAAAACTTATTGTAACGTCGGTTCGTGAAAATCAGATTATCTTTAAATCGACACAAAACAGCTTAGATTATTTATATACCTATCTACCCATTCAAGACGTAATTGCAGCAGTTATGCGGCTTATCCTTCGCGCTGTGTTGGATTGGCGCTGTCATTGGGTACCAGCCAGAAATGCATCATTGCATTGAAAAATTTGTACCTATCGTGAAAACGTGACGTTTTGTGTGCAGATCAAACGGTGCAGAAATTACAAAGTTCCGATATAAAATAACGAAAATCATCATCCATCATTACATTTTTTCGTTTTCGTTCTACCCTCAGAACACAGAACAGCGTTGAAAGTTAAAAGCCATTGAGATATTGTCCTAATAATGAAATAAAATAAAAATCGGTCAAGTGCGCGTCGAATTTACGCACGAAGGGTTCCGTACCATTGTTTATAAAAACGGCAAAAATAACATGTCTGTTGTTTGGGGGCCCCACTTAAATACTTTTTGATCCTGTTTTTTAGTAATTTGTTGTTAATGCGGCAAAAGAAATATATAGTCTGTCAAAATTTCAACCGTAACTCTCACTATTTATGAAATATAGCCTAGTGACAGACAGACAGTGTAGTAGTAGTAATAAGGTCCCGGTATACCCTTTAGGTACGGAACCCTAAAAACTAGCTGTAAAAATTGGTATAAAATATATATACTCCAGTGAGTTCGGCCTAGTTTCTACATTTTTGGCAGGGCCCTAAATTTTTATTTCTTTAATGTTATTGATGCAAAATACAAGCTAGTTCGTACTACTTAAAAATAATTTATAGGTAAATCAAAATGTATTTTCTTTGATTTATTTAAGACAAAGACTAAACTACATACAGACAGGCCACACATCATTTTCTGCTGTTGCAGTTTGCGGGTAGGCTCGTCCGGAAAATTACCACGGCATCACTGATTTACAGAATCTCGGCATTAAGTAGGTATTATACTTAAGGATTTACGGCCGTCAGAATGATCTTATTAATACTCAGAATGATCAATTCAAAGAGTTTAATAATCATTTTGGCAACTCAAACATTTGAAAAGCCATTTGACAACTCATTAGTTAAACGTAGTGATTACATTCTCTTTGGTTAACTTCTACAATTTCAGAAACCGGACGTTAGTATGGACTTTCGCATGTCATCTGGTGAATGAGATAAGGGGGTCCAGTTTAAAGATTGGAAAAAATCCATTATCTGTTTATTTCGTTGCTGATTGGTTGTTTAACGTAGAAATCATGTATGTACAATAAGAAACTATTTTCTAGGTATTGAAATATATTGTGTTTTTGTTTATTTACTTTACGTTATTCCTGTTTTAGATAGTTCTATTATCTGTGTATTCTTAGCAAATGGTGGTCACACTGAAATTCAGTGTGACCATTTGTGGCAGATTTTGGGAGATTACAAGGAAATATTTATACTTGTATTAAGAATACTTAAAATATTCTATCGCCCGGCTTCTGAAACACTAATCATCTTCTTATTATTTACTTTTATTATTATTTGGTAGCAAATTATTTTCTGTTTCATGCCATACCATAGTACTGGGATTTCCTGATTATTGTTTTTTAATGTAGATATGTCATATGATTATGAACGTTAACAAATCAGCAATAAGGGTATATTTTGTTATTAATACAGGGTGGCTTTTCTAAAGGTGCCCAAATTCACACAGGAGGTTCAGACTCGGTAGTATAATCGTTTATTGTATACGTGTTAGTTATGAATGATCGCGCGTTAAATAAATGAGTTGCCCATAAATCACGCAAATTTGGAGATAAGTTTATCTTGTATTTTGTTTTTTAGATTATTTGTGTCTAGAATTTAATTAAAAAATTGTATACACTTAGAAAAACCTCCCTATATAACTGATCTAGGTCCATGTTTGTTGTATTTTCTAATTCTCTATTATTCTATATCTAATTCTCTTTTGGCGTATGATGAGTGTCTTCCGTGCATGGTGAAGAGAAAATACGAGCGTTCGTACTGACCTGATTGTCAAACAAGATACTTTGCTTCCTTCTTGGATTTCCAGCGCTAAGGAGGATATATTGCATTTAGCAAAGCTTGCAATTGTAAACTAGTCATAACCACATCAACGCTTGCAGTTGTTGCTAAATATAATTCTAAAAGAGATTTTCAAGTAAAACAAAAATTATAACTTACTTTTTACATATTTCAAAGTTTGCAAAAGCTACTTTAGATTTGCCTATGTCGAATCGGGAAAATAGATGGTAAAAGACCTAAAAGCCATAATCCTAAAAGGAGGGATCAAATTTCTGAAAACCTAGTAATCCCCATAAGCGCCGCCCTCCACCAGGCGACAGAAAGAAACCGATAGAGGCAGTTCGTTGACCAATTGAATATGAGTCACGATCCTCATCAATGAGGGAACGGCCAAGAAATGCCTTATGCGAAAAAATATATCTATTTCATTAATTATTGTACTGTCTCTAACATAACAATAATATTATGGAATTTTTTTGGCATTTTTTGGAGTTGTTTGGCAGATTTTTTGCTAGTGTCGGGCGGATTCGCCATTTTTGAGATGGTCAACCTGCTGAAATTGGACGTCAAACGTCAATCAAGAATATTGTGCCTAATGAATTATTTGTATTCGATTTAGAAGTTAGAAAAATTTAAATTTAATATTTAGGAGTTGGGTTTAATTTAATATTGGGAAATAAATCATTTTAAAGGCTTAACTTAAAGTATTGTATATCAAATTATTTAAAATGTTATTTATTGACGGAGAAAAGATCTAATAGGTAATAAATATTATCTTTGCGTACTTGTGCTGTCTCACAGTAACTTCATTTTATACAAATGAAATGCAACGTCCGAGAACTCGCTCTTTTGAGCGACCAACCATGCTCAATGGAAGGGAGATTAAACTATAAAAAGATCACGAATGGTGGATACCGTGCCCAATCAGGTGATATGTATTTTCTTGTATTATGATGTTGTAAAGAAAATGTTTAATTGGTAAATTTTTCATTTTCGTTACAATTTAAAATAATCAAATATCCAAAGCCAATTTATGGCTTATGTTCAAATTTAGTCCATTATGTACGGTTAATATAAGGTTATGAAGTTGTTTCGTTTTTGCTAGACCTTTTTTAACTTAACATCTGCCATATAAAGAGTAAATATTTATGTGGTGATATATTTTTTAATTCCCCACATTTTGCCTCATTAATCCTTTATATATGTCAAAAATAGTAGACCATAACTTAAACTAGAAAATCAGGTATTAAGTAGCTAAACAATATGATGCCTACATGCACAATGGTGGCTGGGGTCTCCATTGTCACCATTTTTGGGTGTGCAGAAAGGATATGAATAAAGAATAAGAATTCATGATTCAATATGAATAAGAATTCATGGATACATAGTTTACACATTGTACAAGTATTCTAAGTTGATCATTTGAGTAAGAACAAAAAAAAGTTATTTAATCATGAATATTCCCGCTAATAGCACAATTAAAATTAAAATCAATAGTCATCTCCACTTTGCAAAAGGGGGGAGCCTTATTAATTTTAATATAAAATAATTTAAAAGCAAGCAAGTACTTTTTAGTATTTAGTTTGAGCTAATTTTCTTTAGTTAAATAATTGATTTATTAAAGTTTTCGCCTAAGTGGTATTGTTTGATAGTTTTTTTGAAATTATTGTCCTTAAGACTAATTTTGAATTACATCAAGGTGACACCTAAATAAGTGGGTAAATTTTTAATTTTATTAAAGCTTCTCAAGTCTTAAGGCTGTCATATTTTTTTCAGTGTTTAAAGAGAGATGGTTTAGACTTATTAACAATTATTTATTTTACTTTAAAATAAGTGAAATGGGAAAATTTGATACAAAGAACCCTGCTGGAGCCTTTGTAATGGAAAATTCTTCTATTCAAATGGAACATGGTCAAAGCATATCATTCTCATTTTCAATATCATTTATGTAAGTTTCTAAAAACTACTTTTTTTTAATTCCGTAATATTAATTATTAACAACCCTAATATTAAAACTCATTCATATTTAAAAAAAATATATAACGTTATGTATTTTCAAATGCGCTTCTGAAGTTATGTGTCTATTATGGTAAAGAAATGTTTTTTTTTTTATGTGTGCAATCAAAATTTAGGTCATCAAACAAACAAGAGGTAATGTTTGTATATGCGCATGACATCTTTCATCACTAAATGCTTATTGCACACAAACAACACTATAATATGTTCTTATTTTAGTGATGAACCTGAAAAGCGACATATTTTTGCAGCTCGATCTGAAGACAATGTTGTACAGTGGGTAATGAAGTTGCGAGAATGTACTTATGAATATTTGAGAAATAGATTACATACTCTTCAGTCTAAAATATATTCAATTACAGGCAAGGCATGTATAAATTCATAACACTCATTTATTAATTAGACATCTAAGTTGATGAGCATGTAATGTTCATGTTGACATGTCCATGACTTTACTTTGCAGGATCCTCTTCTGTTGGTGCCGCGAAATGAAGGTGCATGTCTGTGGGCACCATCGGTGCCATTTTCAACTACCCCAGCTTGTACAATAAACACAAGTTCTTTTAGTTGTCACCTTCACACAAATGGTGCTTTTACTCTTGAACGCAGCAAATCCGATGTTCAGACTTACAAGCATCTTCATGCGGAATATACTAATAAAGCAGTTTTTTATACAAACGAAACTGTTACCAGAGAGGATAGTCATAGCCATGGATTTGTATTGGAGAAAAGTAAAACATCTGCAATATTTGCCTCAAGCCTGAATCCTATCGATCTGTCAATTTTCGATAACCGCCCAGCATACTCGCGCGCTGCACCAAGTCCACCCGTTAGGACCAAATTTTCGCCAGCAACTCGACATGCTGAAGTCAGCCACGACATCAAAGCGTTCACTGAGCAGGGCAAACATTTGGGCGTTACTGGCATTTTAGACGAAGTACCGGTGCCGCCCAGAAGGAAGTTGTCGCCCAAGCCAGTGGAAAAGCAAGTCAACAATGTCCCAAACAGTACCAGTAAAGAGAATTTGGTGGACGCGTTGACGGAAGACCTCATTCAATTTTAACGAATAGTTTTATTGTGTTATCCAATGTTCCCACCAATTAATTTAATGTACTTGCCCTTTATTGCGCGAACTCATCATATAGTTTTAGCTATTGGAACAATATATATTCTTTTAATCACATGACATTTAATTAAGACCTACATTGTGAGAATGGTATCTAATATCATGCTAAAAAATGAATAATTGTTTAGTTATTTATGACAAAATAGAATATAATAAAATGTTGAACAATTACAACATTAATATCAAAACAAATAACATGGTTCACTTTTTCATTATTAATTAAGTTGTATCAGAAAAAATTCTTATCTTCTTCATGTTCGGTCATTGTAACATTCACACCTTTTATTGCTTATGGTGTAGAAAGATATAGCTAATTTTACCATGATTTCAGCAAGTTTTTCTTATAAACTATACTAATTTTAAGTAGGATCATGAACAAACATTAAAACAAAACTAGTCAGGTAACTGAATATTCATTGATGACATTGTATTTATTAGACATTACCTATAAATAAATAACCTTTATGGCCATTTTTAGCACGGTTAGTCATGACTATCGTCTGCAATTGCTTCGCATCGACGGCATCCTGTGCAATTGATTATGTTATGTCATGCCCCATAAAGCTTGCACATGTATTAGCTTAACAATGAAATTATTGTACGATTTTTGTTGTGCATCAATGTGCATCACATATATCAGTAATGATAACATTCAATCGCAATTGTATATATGATTTATTTTATAAATAATATTTTTTACAATACTTTTATGAAATATTTTAACGTGCTATTTTAACTGTCACGGGTCAGCTATTGGTGCCTTTAATTCAATTAAATTTATAGAAATATTTGCTAAATTTATCGAAAGTGATTGTGAACCACTTTTGAGCACTGTACGTAATATCAATACGTTGTATTAACATCGTAAAACGGCTCGTCATATTTTTATTGTTAGGTACTTGGCATTTTCCCAAAATTTGGTAATGCCACGTGTTAATAAGGAATGTACTGACACCAGTCCTTTTTTTAAGCAATAATATGCATAAATGTTTAGATGAGGTTTTACATTAATTCAATTTTTAATATTCAAATATTCTGGATTTAGCATGTAAGATATCACGGGTATTTCCCATTACTATAGATTTATGACAATTACTCTAGAACTATCAAGTGTGAACCAAAACTATTTTATATTGTTACTCACTAATGTTTGAAGCAATATTTCAGTTAACAAGGATAGAAATGTTTACTAAAACTGCCCCATTTTATGACGACGAAATTAAAAAAAAAATATTTTTATACCATTTGTATTGGAAAGTTCAAATTAAAATTATTATCTATTAATTATTTTCAGTGGTGTCTTCATTACCCAACCCAGGTAGTTTGCAAAAACAGATACCTACAATAGTTTTTTTGTTATTTTGTTACAAAGAGCACATCTGAGCAAAATTTAGAGTCTGGTAGTACAAGGGATTTGAACAGTATTCGACGCTGATCATAAATATAGACATCTGTGTAATATTTCAAAAAAAGTACTTTTCCCGCAAAGGGTATTTGAGTGCTGTCTATCAATTAACAGGGAACCGCGTTATACTACCGCAGATTATAGAGTAAGAACTTTGTTTTGATTGGAAATATTCTTTCTGAAGGAGCCTACAGATTTAATATTACTCCAAAAAATTTGAATCTCTAATTCCATTTTTAACTGACTTCAAAAAGAAGGAGGTTATCAATTCGGATGTATATTTTTTTTATCTATGTTCGGGCATAACTTCGTCACATATAGACGGATTTGCAATATTCTTTTTTTTTTGTTCGAAATGCTTTCATTTCGAAATGGTCCCATATAAATTTCATGTAGATCTGATGATGATTTTCAGAGATAGCAACGTAACTCTTCGAAATATGACGTTTTGCATGTAACGTTGTAATAGTTAGGTAAGTACATAATTTTATTTGAAGTCCGTTCTTTTTTTGTTACAAAACTTTTTATAACTACTCTATGAGGCCTGAACTTATGCTGTTTAGAAACAATACAATTTTTTTTTGTTTATTGAGAGAAAAGACTAGAAATAATATGTAGGTATTATTTTCTAATCTTCTGACAATAAATATACGAGGAGATTCAAAAGAGTAAAATTTTAATATAAGTGCCTGCTCGTATGTTTCATAAAGTTAAATTTAGATAAACAATTTTAGATCTTGTTTAGGGCAATAAATAAACAGTAGAATTTTTAACTTAATGAAGTTTATTATAACGATTGTACAAAAACAAAACATGTCTTTATTGTAATTATAAAATGGGTACCTAACGTTTTGTACGACGCGCGCGCACACCGACAGTCAAAAAGCGACATGATGAAGTTAGCTACAAAGCCATCAATTTCTGGTAATACCATAGCAATCAATAACTTTTTGACATTTACCTAAAATTCAAAGCTAATTTAATTTAACCTTTATCAATTGCATTTAATGTCTTTTCATAAAAAAAAGTACTAGCATGAAACATGTACTAGCATGCAAATGAAATAAAATTAAAATTAAAGATTTTGTTACAAGGAAGTACCTATAACTTCTTATGTGCATACATAAGTAAGTACGCACATATTTGTATTTTTTGTTTCTTTTTTAAATCTCTTTTTGAAACTTGCTTGCTTGTAGGATTTCCTTAAGACTTAAGCCAGGCCGTTGTCGTAATGCCATACGTCCGGTACTCAGTCGGTGGCTGGACAGGCGTCACGGCACCCTCACCTACCGGGCGATGCAGGTTCTCTCGAGACATGGCTGTTTTGGGAGGTACCTGTGCCACTTGGCGGGGAGGGAGCCAACAGCGGTTTGCCATCACTGCGATGTATGTGCCGTGGGGACGGTCCAACACGTACTGCAGGAGTGCTCAGCCTGGCGGGAGCAGCGCCGAGAGCTGATGGCTATCGTGGGGTACGATCCCTCGCTGCTCGCCGTGGTCCGCGCTATGGTGGACAGCGAGAGGTCGTGGGGTGCCGCCCTTGCATTCTGCGAGGACATAATAACCCGGAAGGAGGCCGCGGAAGAGAAAAAGGGAGGCAACTGCCACCCTGGAAATCTGCCGCCGGAGACCAGGGCGCAGGAAGCTGGCCTACGCGCGCAACCTTCCCCCCTGATAGCAAACCCCGGGGCGGCAGATGTGGGACTAACTGCTGCCCCGCGGAGGGCTTGAGAAGGGTGCCGTGCTCATTGCACCGACACGGCACCATTTGGCTGGATCGGGGGTCTAAGCACCCGGGGAGAGGAGGCCTGAGAAAGCCATAGTCGCCGCGGGGTTCGCGGAAGATTGCGTTTTCGTGTTCCCTTGTCCCCGGCAAAGCGAAAGCGCAGGTGCAACGTGGATTTTCAGTGGGTACCCCGTAACTCCCACATACCCCTGATGCGGCGGGGGATCCATAAAGGATTTTTCCCACGTAAAAGAAAAGGCCGTTGTCGTAATATCTCAGGAACCATCTTGTTGAAAAACCAAAGCATTGATTCATTGATATGAGTTTAAGTATTCACGAGGGAATTTCCTTCTTATTTCATCTGTAACCATGTGAGTGAAGGTTGTTCTTTCATTGTAAGTCTCATGTCAAAGTGAATTCTTTACAGAACACTTTTGCACATATCGACCGAAGCGATTTTTTGAATCATGTCACGTCACTTCACAGTAAGTTCCCCCGCACGAGAACGATGGCTATTCTTTAAAAAAAATTAAGGCTTGATTTTCCGTATCAAACTCAAATTCAAAATATCTTTATTCAAATAGACACTTGCGCATTCTTATAAAACGTCGAATTTAACATAAAAATTGATGATACATAAGTTCGTACGTAAGTTACCACCGTTTCGGAAAGCAGTTTCTGTCGAAAAAAGACCGGCACAAACTTAACAGCAAATTTGAGTAATTTTGAAAGCATTAAAATTATAAGCATTATCAAATATAAATAAATTTTATAGAGCCGAACAACATATTTAGCTGCTTGAATAATAACTGTATAAGCCAACGAATATTTTCCGTCACAAATGTGTGCTGCGAGTTACCATAACATTCGATGAAAGTAAATATTCATGTTATTGTGTATATACTTAGTTTCATAATTGTTTTCATCTCTTATATTGGAGCCCGATATACAGCGTGTCTTTACAATCGCGACAATAAATGAACACACGTCTAACGCTACTTGCCAATAATCATAAAAAAATATTAACGTTAAATACAATCCATAATTAAAAAAAATATTTTTCAAACACACTAATTGAGTAAAAAAGAAACAAAATTTGTAACATTCTATACAACTACAACTGACTGATTCATACATTCAGAGACTTTTTCATTCGTTGCCACACTATCGCCTTACAAGCTTCTTCTTCTAACAGTATGTTTTGTCTCTTTCAAATTCATTCATCGCATTCATATGCTTTGTGACCTTTACAAATGAACTTTACGTTACAGTTTTATACGTAAGGTGTTCTAATATTGTTTGTTTTGGAAAATTTAATAACTGTAAATATTGATGTTTAAAGAATGTCAATGTTTAATACAATTTAAAAAAGTTATCCTCTATATGTGTGTTGATTTATGGTCGCGATTGTAAAGACACGCTGTATATCGGTCACCACGCTCAAAAAGTGTAACTTGAATTAATATAAAAAAAAAACGTGAATTAATGTCAAAGAAAAAAATAAATAAATAATTATAATTGCATAATTTGATAAAAAATGCTATGCAATAGCTTTACCGCGGCAGTCCCCGAGTGCCACAGTTAGTTTTTATACTAGTTTCCATCTAACATCGGCTTTAAAATTTTGTCATGTCGTTATTAATGGTACCTACCTTCCTACTTGATTAAGTATGGTGATAATCGTTTTACGTCCATAGGCTTAGGAAACATCAATTTAAGTAAAATTTAAATAAAACGACTTTATAATGATAAGCGCATAATACGTTTAACTTTAATCCCTTTTAACATAACAGTTAACATAACTGTTGCGTTCACACTGAGGTTCGGTTAAGTTCGATCTTACATATAATTACAATTTAAATGCGTGAACTCTCTTTATCTCAGTTAGTCATTTGGAATATAAGCTGGATAAACATATGAGTTGGCATTAAGTTAAAAAACTTCATTATAAATGGTAAAAATATTTCATCTGATGTTACTTTTTTTGTAAATCTTGTATTCTAACAAATAGTACCGTAGAGTACAATAACAATACTTAAATCTACTATTTTGTTACAGTATGATAATTTCTATAACTAAGGTGACATAAATAATAACTTTAGAACTTACGCCTAAAAGAGATTCGCACATGTTGCCATTTAGAAATCATTAACTCAGTTAATTTTATCTCGAGTAAATTTTAATTATTTTATTATGTATGTATACTTATATGTATATGTAGCATAAGGCACTTGTTTACTTTGAAGACTTCCATACTTATAACAAACATAATTATTGACCTAAGTTGCTTATATGTTTTAAATATGTATTTTTTATCATTTCGTTGAACTTCTAACTACTTCCATTAATTCGGGTTATATTTTAATAAGTATCCTATCATATCTTACTCATCATTTTATGTAATAACATAGAAATGATTCAAAGATTTCGTGTAGGATATGGATCCCCAGCTTTATAAAGCTTAGGATAACGGTAAATAATACTTTTTAAAATGCAAAGACAATAAAAATAATTCCGCTAAGTCTGTGTTCGTGTTGATTGGTCTCGAATTATAACAATGGCTGTGCTCCGAAGCAAAGTCCATTGAGCGAAGTAGAAATGCGTGCGGCATTGTGAAAACGCCTTAAACGTGCGGTGTGGAGGATCTCGGGGCTTCGCTAGTTAGTTGCCACCGTAATCGCGCAACTCGCGGTTGCCCAGAGGAAGCGTAGGCCGGTAGTTGTGAAGCAGCTCCATGGCCTCCACGCCGCATGACGCTTCCCCACAGCGCAGTTTTCGCATTAGCGCCAACTGAAACGACACAAATATATGTATTACGATTACGAACCTTTGTGGCGAGGCTGTAATTCAATTTTAGAATTCTAACTTCTCGATTAATACATTCAATTACTGTTACATGTTTTGCCGCACGTACCATAAACTCTCATCACATCTGGGCATTAAGCACGCCCTATTTTACCTGTATTACTTAAGGTTGGCAATAAAGATTAAATAAATAATTATTAATTTCCACATTTTACAAAGTCATCTGCAACTTTGGCAGCTGATTTGAAACGCAGCAAGAGTGCAGTAATGAGTTTTCCATCATTGTGATATTTATACACTTATTTATTGTTGGATTGATATTCGGGCTCATCGCCATTACCACATTGGCCTTATCTTTTTCTTACCCGTTGTGGGATTAAATAATTAAAATAATCGTAAATAGAGAGCACTCATTATCTACTTGGATAGATCATCATCACAATGTACCTAAGTATATTTAATATCAGCCGCTTGTCTGAATCATAACAAAAATTTAAATAATTTCCCAAATATTCAAAAACCTTAACGGTAGGGTTGTAAGTTATATATGAGGACATTATAATACCATTAACATGTTCAAACATATTGTCGCGCTATATAATATACTTTAATGTATATATATTTATATTGGTAAATATCTCGACCTATATTTTTATCCTAATTTTATGAAGGCCTGTCTTCAATGCCTCGTCTTACAGTTCTTCGGAAACCGGTACAATGGTAGCGATCCCCGTCCGACATTCGATCCTGTTTGCCTAACGTAGGCGTCCTTAAGTCGATTATAAGATTGTATGCACATACGAGTGCAATGAAATTGTAATATAAAAAAAAAGCATTGTACATACATCTCTAATAAACGTTTAAACTTTGTGTCAGCACGAGACAATCATTTCATTTTTTTTTTCAACTACACTTATTCCAATAATCTGGAAATTACTATCTAACTTTTTGAAAAAGGCTGATTGAATTTTGTGAAATTCATAGAATTGTATTGTCATACATGTAATCCATTTAATTGGGGTCAATATTAAATGTATCGTGCGTTGCTGTACCTGTTCGGCGGAAACTTGTATCGGTTCCTTGAAGAGGATCCACGTGACAGATTCAGTGCACGGCGGCGTAGTGAGGGAGCCTGGGTAGGTCCAGTACGCGGTTCGCTGCGGGAGCAAGCGCGCCGGGTCCAGGGGCTCCGACATGGTCACCTTGTCGCCCTTGTGCTGGATGAACGGCAGCAGACGCATCACCTTCTCCAACTCGTGATGCTTTGTTCCCACCTGGGGATATTTCGTAATATATCACGGTGTGTTCGTCAACAGACCGTTGTACAAAGCTAGTAATATTGTCCAGGACGATACAAAATCATGTTCTTCGAAGAATCAATTTTTGTTTAGAACAATTTTCCTTTTAAGTTTTTCATTTACATAAATCTAAGAAGAATTCATGTAAAGTTCAACTTGAGTCAGTCCCGGTTACCCCGCCAGACGAAACGGGAATTATAATACTTCCACTTCACGCTGGTCTTCTGTGAGGTACTTCCCCGGACGAGCCGCAGCTACTGATTGGCTTCACCACAGTTAAACGATTACCAAATAATTTTAATTCCGGAAAAACTAGGAACTTATAACTCATTTGTGATAGCTTAGTCTGGCCCCTCTTTTAATTCAGTTTTCCGTTGCTAATGAACTGTAAATTGAAATACGCACTAACATATCACGGGATCAATGAAGTAAACAATCGAAACTTTCATATTAAATTACTTTTTAAAATATGTATATAAAACAATGTTAGGTTACATACGTTATTACCAGACTATAATCGATAATATTATTATTGGGTTTAAAATAAATCGTAGCGAAACTGTATGGCCTCTTTATGTAAATAAGTGTAGTATTTATTTATAGTTCCATCAGTACTTAAACCTTACGCGATATTTATTATTTTTATATAAGCAAAAAGTATAAATGCACAAAGCAACATAACAAGGTTTTTATAATTATTTCTACAAATAAAATTTACGATAGTAGATAATTAATAGGTAACGTGTACAAAGTCATGATGCTGTTAATATTATTACTCATATTTATCACTCAAATAAAAAGTACTCGTGGTCGGAGTAACATCAAACTCGCTTATGTTTTTAAAACTAAATGCCAAATAAAGTAACACGTTTAAAGAGTGAAAGTTGGTCTCTGGTGTTGAGGTTGTGATGTTTGTGTTGTTCTCATCTGCAAGCCGGGCGCGCTCGGTTATTTTTATATAACTTTATAAACCGTATATATACACATACATCTTGCACACGCGTGACGCTCTCTCAACAGAACATAAGTTCACTTCAAGTCAGAGCGATGTACTTTACATCTGAATACAATTTATTTACTCAGGTTCGTAAATAAAAAGATGTCGGCCTTGTTCCCTCGGTTGAAATAAATTCGTTTTAGGAAGAGCTCGAATAAACATTTGCAAGTTTGTGGATCGAGCCTAAAGATATTTTATAGCAAGAGGCACAATCGTTGATACTAATAATTTATCAATAGCACGATAATAGCCTGTGACTGTTGTAAATTAAAACATATGGTGCTTCAACATAAATGTACTCAAATACGTTTCCGGCCTTTTAGGAAAGAGTATCCTCTCTTCTTGAAGGTTCCCAGGTCGTAACGATTCGGAAAGACCGCCGGCGGCAGTTGGTTTCACACAGTGGTTGCCCGAGGCAGGAAATGCCTTGAAAATCGCGCTGTTGTCGAACGCTGGACATCGAGGTGGTGTGGGTGAAATTTTTGGTTTTTGCGCGATGTCCGATGGTGAAATTCAGCCGCCGGAATCAATCCAAACAATTCCTCGGAACACTCTCCGTGATAAATGCGGTAGACGATAGAAAGTGATCATACATCTCTATGCAGAGACAAAGGATCGAGCCGGCCGTCGATAAGCCTAGCCGCCCTCCGTTGAATAGGGTCTAATAGAAGAAGCTTGATCTTATCTTATCTTTTAACTAATTTTATCGGATGTATACAAAGTTGACATTGACGGAAAAACTAAACCATAATTGGTATAGTAGACTGCAAGCAATATTTTTCTTTGTAATTTGCAATACTTTAAAATTTACTTTACCATCAATAAAACTCCCAGAACCGCAAGCCCATCAGGCTGACCGGCTGCTTCTCCGAAGCTGTTGTATTTGGAGGTGTTCCAGTGAACAAGATGGAGTTCTCCGGAAAACGCACGTCCATCAACTGTGTGCTCCGATCCTTCCCCGTTCACAGCGCCCCAGTGGCAGTGCCATTGCTGAAGCTTGTACACATCTGCACCTAACGGGCCTCCGCGGAGTTCTGTAATATTAAACTTTCTATGAATAACTGCACTTATGACGTAGATTCAGCTTATCGCTTTGAAGACGCATTGCATCTAAAAGCAGCATCGCTATCTTAAAGTCAAAGTCAAATGTCGCTTGCATAACTATCTATGTTATATCGTATGTACGTATACGTAACCGGGAGTGTTGCTTAAATGCACACCAGATTACTGGGGAAATATTAGTTGAGCGATTTTCTTAACCTCATTTAGTAAATAATGCGCATAAAAACATAAAGTTCATTGACGCATAACAAATTTCATCGTTTCCCACCACAACGTTTCCGACCACTTTAGTAGTCCTTTTATTGCGGTCACAGGATCTTTTTATTATTAATTGGCTTTTAAAAAAAATTCTGTAGCAATATTAATAGTAAAAGGTTACATTCATTTAGCGTTCATTAATCTTATGTTTGGCAATAAACTGTGTAACTATAAATGTTGAATTAAAATTGTTTATGCTTTACATAAGTGTTATATCATGTGTAATGAACATAAGAAAAAGTTAACAATTCATATTTTTTTCACTGCCTTAGCTACTTTTCAGTGTTGAAATATCATTTGAAGGGTACCATCGTCAGTTGAATTGCAAATTGCTTGTTCGTGTGACAGCATCAACTACAGTTTCCACCTGCACGATTAGCTTAGCGGAAATTTGACGTCTCCTCTTCCAGCACTAAATTAATAGCACGAATGGCTGTTGTAAATCATGAAAACGGGTTGTGATTTGTAGCGTCATACAACCAGAGCTATGAAGACTTGTTTTTTGCCCTGGTTTAGGGCTAGAGCCCGTAATAATAAATTAATAATACAATTTTTCTTCATTTCAATTGATTTAATTAATTAACATAAGCCTTTTATCAGCTGCAAATAATTAATAGCAATGAATTTAAACAGCAATATACATATAGTGATCGGTAAAACGTAACGAAAGATGATTGTTAGACTTATATAGAATACCTATGTAACTAAACTAAAATATATAAGAATAACTAACAAAAAATCTTTAACTGGTATTCGTCCGTCTCTCCATCTTTCCGTCCATTCAAATTTTCTCTGTCAAATGAGATTCCATGAGATTTATAGAAGACCATTACACTGAAATTCAACAGTGAACAAATTAATTCCTTAGGTTAGTGCTAATTTAAGTATCTGAGCGCTGATGTCAGTACAGCGAGATTACCTGAATCGTATCCGTTCTCGTCGACGCGCCAACAGTAGCCCGGGTTGACGACGGAGCGGGTGTGGTTGACAGAGTAGCGCCAGGTGAGAGGCGGGGCGCTACCACCGCTGCTGGCTCGCGTCGTATCTATGTCCACAGGGCTCTGTCGAGCTCCGCGCGCTTCGGGAAACTTTTCAATCCATGTTTCCGGGCCTACGATATGACAAAGAATAGCATCACGACTTCGCCATCAAAACATAGTCTACAAAACAACGAAACAAAATTAGATCACGACTCCTCTACCGTGTATTAATTGTAGCAACAATGTAATTGAGTAAGGCTATGTATGTTTGGCCTAACTCTTGCCACAACGGTCCAATCGGTTTGAACGGAGATAACTCCTATGCCTGATTGAACATAAGACTATTATGTATTAAGTATTCTATTAAGAGAATCACGTGTTCGGCAACGTTGACAAAAATCATAAATAATAAACCCTAATGTCATATTGCACTAAAATAAAAATTGTGTTAGATAAATTATAAATTATCATATTCAAGGGCCATGTAACTTTTCTAACTTTTCTATAACAAAACATTGCGTGCGAACATTATTTACCTTTTGTAAGGCATTAATATAAATCGGGGACGGTGATAATGAGTTCAGTTGTATTTTATAAAAGATTCGTACTGTTCAAAATATTTTACATTTGTTTATTTCACGTAATTTTTATTTATTTCTCGATCTTTTAACACCTTCTTGATTCACTAAGATGATTTTAAAATGAATTTTTATAGCATTTCAGTATCCTATGAACAACATGCGCCGAAAAACTAGGAAATTTTGGTAGAAGGAACGATGTTTCGAATACTTACGAATTATAAGTATATATTTTTAAATACCTAACTAATGTTCTCGTCTCCATGCTCCATAGGTTTTTCAGAATGATTTAAAGTCTCCTTCAATATTTCTTATAATGATATTGTAAGACACTAAAACCTTTGTTTACCATGTCTTGGGTAATCTTGACAGTTTGATTTTACAATAGGAAAAATTGTATGACTAACAAAATTTGTGGCTGAGAAAACATTTTTTTTGCAAATATTTGGTTTATTTACATTTGCGTCGGTTCTGTAGACGAGCGAGCGTCAAGACTGACAGATTGTTTGGGCAACGCATCCGAGAATTATCTTATCTTTCGGGGCGGTAGTTAAGCCTAACGTAAAGTTTTATAGTGACACATTATTTGTTTCCGGTTATATATTTTAGATTAGTTCAAGTAATTGGTGAATTTTATCACCTGTCTTATAGTTTTATGTTTCATGTATGAGACGTTTTTTACTCACATCTTCCGAGCTTGAGATTTGTTGGTTAAAGAGGTGTTAATGACATTTTTTACTCACTACATTTATCGTGATTGCATTATGTCAATAATATATTGCATGCATTAATAATGTAATAATAAATGCAATAATATATTGATGCAGTATAATGACATTAATAGATGAATATAGTAAAATATATGTCTTAATTTTTTTCTATATTCTTCTAGTGACATTACATTTGTGCTATACGTATAATTTATGGCGTTGAATCATTTTAATTAAGCATTGTACTAAGTTTGTTTTCCTTAACAATGCTGATTTGTATATTATTTGTATTCAAGGCAGACTTTAAACGGCGACAGTTTTACGCTTGTTCAGTATGCTCTAACAAATAAATATAATATACCGAGCTATCGAATAAATTTCAAGTAAGTATTCTATCCAATTTTTATTTACAGTATAACTATTATGCGTATGACAATCAATGAACATGTTTTTATCTGTGACCTAATATTTTTAATGGAATTATAGTACGTTTTGAATATTGCTGTAAGAGTTTGTATTGTGAAATGCGAGCTAAACATTAAAATTATTTTCATTGCATTTAAAATAGGGGTCATAAATGGAGCAGCGAGTGTCGCGCACGTGTTGCCAACTCATTGCCCTTACCTCTGCTCTCTGGTTTTCGGCGACATTGCATCGGCCAGGGTCAGCCAACCTTGTCGCATGAAATGATTACGATTAGCTCAAAGCGGAAAAGGTCATCGTCGACTTGAGTTTTTTACATGCCTTTTATTTTAGGCGAATTAAAATGTTTTGCTTACTTTTTGCAATTGCAATTTGCGTGATGACAAACGATTAAAGTTATATTACATTCTGACAATTGTATATTGTTATAATTGTCTCACGGACTTCAATTTTGTAACCAAGGTAAACACAGCATTAATATTTGTAGTGTTTTAAGGCCTGAATACGATGGAACGGGGTGGACCAGCCATTTCTGTCCATGTCCAGGACAGAAATGGGGATTACAGACGTAAGAAGTAACATTATAAAAAAGTTAATCTAAAAGAAAACTGAAAACATAAAAAACTTGTAATCAGTGTAGTTTTATTTATTGCAGCCATATTTTTCGTTCATAAAATTAGCGACAAAAAGGTGAAGAAGGCGAAGAAGTGGTGGAATATGAGACTATCACTAGACATTGAAGAAAAATGTGATACGGTAACCTAAATGACAAAAAAACTAATAAATTTAGATAATTCTTAAAAGATGAATGGATAGTCATAGATAATGATAGATTAGGTTTTTTGTGCGGGTAATAGTAATCGATCGTTATATAAATCGAGTGACGCAATGTTTATAATCTTAAAAATAGACGAAGTCTCGATTGCATATCAATTGACAGCGACGGTTCGTCTGTATAAAAATAAATAAATAACAACTCATGTCCTCAATTGAGCTCTCGACGGGAACCGGATGTTTGCACTCATAATATACTATAATGAAAGGAGAAAATAGCATTAGCTCTAGACGAAATGGCCATAACCATCGTAGTTTTGTGGGAACGTTTACTAGTCGGCCGTTTTATCGGTAATTCAGCCAATTGCCGAGTTCATCATGCGGACGTCATCGGTTTACGTGCGAGGAGCTGGGGCTGCAGTTATTGACACCACGATTTTGTCAACACGCAAAAATCATTCTCCACCACATTTAATTACATTTTATTTATAATGTGTTATTCGTCTATTCCATACGAGAGAAGTTTTTCATCCTCATCATCATTTCAGCCCGTTTCAGTTCACTGCTTAACATAGGCTATCACAAAGTCGTTAACAATAGTTATATTTCGTGGGTAACGAAGAACTCATCATTTACATCGATCTATGCGTGCTTCATGTGACTATATCCTAAAAAAATTCTTGGATGGATTTATACAATAATTCCAATTCTGCCTACATATATTAATTAATAGTACCCGGAGGACCGAGCTTTGCTCGGAGTGTTTTTTTTTTGGTAAATCGTGTATTTTGGAAATTACATTTAGATACAAATTACTGAGTAATGTAATATGCATAATATTTTTCGATCTTACCGACGTTATAATAAGAAAATATGAATTGATGTTTTTCACAAAAGAAAGAACTTTAAAAAAAAAGGGAAAAAAATAACAAAAAAACAAATCGAAAAAAAATTCAAAATAAAGAAAGCAATGAAAAAAAATATGTGTAAATGATCGTGACGCGAACCACGGCTGTCTGTTGTGGGGCCGCTCGATTACGGACCGAGGTATTTACCGAGAAATTTACCGTCATATTCGAACTATATTTTTCATTCCCTGAAAACAGGGATAAAAGAACATTTTATAAAAGTGAAACCTAGCTAGTTCGATTTTTCGCCCCCGAATCTACGCACATACTAAATTTCATGAAAATCGCTGGAGCCGATTCCGAGATTCCGGTTATATATATATATACAAGAATTGCTCGTTTAAGATACATAGCAAACAATATTAAAGGCAATACAATGCGAATTAAGCGAAGAAAGAGAAAAAAGAAAACTTTTGGTTTACGTTTAACCTAATGCAAGTTCGTATTTGAAATTAAAAACAAAATTATAATTTTGTATGTACATATATTGAAATTATATAAAGATCGTTTAACATAATGCAAGTTCATATTTGAAATTAGAAGAAATATTAAAATTTTGTTTGTACATATAGGTATTGAAATCATATAAAAATCGTCATAAGTTTGTGGTTACACTAACCACAGCTATAGAACGTAGGGAGACGTGTTGTTACCAATACAATCATTGCATTGAAATCTATTGAAAGACAGGCGACCTGCTTTTCAATGCAGTGGTTCTATGCATCTATTCACTTTTATGGCGATGATAAAATTAATGTTAATTAATGTTACTATAGAGAAATACAAGATAATAATATTAAACGATTAATGCTGTCAAAGTCTAAAAGTCCTGAAAACTTTGTGTAAACAGTAATAAATTAGACAAAAGATAAATATTTTGTGTTACATAAAGTTTGTTTTACTGTATGTAAATAAACATTATAGCGCGATCGCGAAAGGTTCTAACAGTACTTATAAACATATACTGCTGTAATAATAAACTATTACGTTCAGATTGTAAAAAAAATGCTATAAATAGAATGGTATCAATATAATCTTAGTCATAAGAGTATAGTATAAAAACGTTAACTTTCGCATGTTCTTCTTTAGGCATCCATGTTCTTAGCATATGAAATACTTTTCTGTAATCACGTAGAATTGGAGCAATTTTAAGCATCACATTTACTTATTCTGTACTTGACATTGATATAGAAATAAAGGATTATGATTACCTTTATTTCTCATATAAAACTAGATAATATGTACTACTTTTGTAGCATCGGGTTTACCAGATTATTGAACATAATGATTAAAATGAACATCATTAACCTCGGAACAAAAAATAGCAGTTTCGTAGAAATTTACTATATTTAGCAAGTTCTGTGAAGTGATCTTTGATTTTTATTATTTATTATTTTAAACTACTAAGTTATATATTGTTTTCTCATACAGTATAACCGTAACATTAGCTTTAGGCAATCTTTTGATTGTTTTTAAGCTTGAACGATGTCTAGCCATTATTACTAGTATTTTTTTGATTATGGCCTTATATAATGTCTTAAGCATTGAAATTACCAATATTTGCATTCTACAACTAGATGCAAAATGTTAGGAAGAGCAAGCTTTTATTAGGTATGTTAAATTGACAAGTTTTTTTCTCAAATCATCAGATTTGTTATGAATGATTTAACAAATGAAGATGTTTTAATTGTTGTTAAAAAAACGTAAAGTGAACATATTATCTATTGGAGGAGTCGTT